GGAGAGTTTATAGAATGAGGATAAGGATAAGGATTGTGTTTCGTGATAAGGGCACCGATGCTGGAGGAAGAGAAGAAGAAATGGGAGAAGATGAGGGAGAGTATGTATTGGAAGAGGAATAAGGGGACGGACTGCTGTGGAGAAGGAAAATGAGGGAGAGATGTATTTGAAGAGGATAAGACGATGCTATGAGGAGGAAGAAGAAGGCAGAAAGGGAGAAGGAAAATGAGGAAGAGGTTTATAGAAGAGGATAAGGGACGATGCTGGAGGAAGAGAAGAAAAGAGAAGAGAGGAAAATGAGGGAGAGGTTTATAGAAAAGGATAAGGGACGATGCTGGAGGAAAGAGAAGAAGAAAGGAGAAGGAAAATGAGGGAGAGGTTTATAGAAGAGGATATACGATGCTGAGGAAAGAAGAAGAAAAGAGAAGGAAAAGAGGAGAGTGTTTTGAAGAGAATAAGGACGATGCTGGAGGAAAGAGAAGAAGAAAGGAGAAGGAAAATGAGGGAGAGGTTTATAGAAGAGGATAAGGGACGATGCTGGAGGAAAGAGAAGCAGAAAGGGAGATAGGAAATGAGCGAGAGTGTATGGAGAGGATAACGCGGACGATCCTGGATGAAAGAAGAAGAAGAAAGGATAAGGGACGATGCTGGGAGAAGGAAAATGAGGGAGAGATGTATTGAAGAGGATAAGGGACGATCTTGGAGGAAAGAGAAGAAGAAAGGGAGAAGGAAAATGAGGAAGAGGTTTATAGAAGAGGATAAGGACGAACTTGCTGGAGGGAAAGAGAAGAAGAAAGGGAGAAGGAAAATGAGGAAGAGATGTATTGAAGAGGATAAGGGAGTGCAGAAAGCGAAAAAGGAAAATGAGGGAAAGATGTATTGAAGAGGATGAGGGAGGCAGAAAGGGAGAATGAAAATGAGGGAGAGATGTACTGAAGAGGATAAGGGAGGCAGAAAGGAAAAGGAAAATGAGGGAGAAATGTGAATAATGGTGGAAAATGGAGCGAAGATTGGGAGATGGAGGAGGTTGATGATTATGCTTTAGCGATATGTTGAATAGTTTGTTTTCGCGGTGAGATGAGCGAGGTTGTGATTGTTGTTTGTTTGTCAATTTCATTATATGTGTTTATTCTGCTAATTCTAACTCCCTATTCCTTCGTCCTTCTCCTCCTCCTTCCCTCTTATCCTCTGCTTTCCCTGCTCCGTCGTCCTCGCTGCCTCCACCTCCTTCTTCCTCCTCTTCCTCCTCCCTCCTGAGTGCGGGTTAAAAGTTGCTCTCTGCTCTCTCTCGGGGTCGAAGCTTGCACGATATTGCAGCTCGAAGCGGGAGGGGCGGGGGGCGGGGGGGGAGGGGGCTATGGGGTGAGGATTGGGGGGAGGGCGGGGAAGGTTGTGTGCGTGTGTGTGTGTGTTGTGTGCGCGTGTTGTGTGTGTGTGGTGTTGTGTGTGTGTGCTGTGTGTATGTGTGTGTGTGTGTGTGTGTGTGCGTGTGTGCATGTGTGCTGTGTGTTTGCAGGGGTTGGCACGATTGCAACGGGGCAGGGAGTGCAGGGGAGGGGGGGGTTAAGTTGATACAGTGGGGGGGGGGAGAGCATACTGCTCAACTTCCGTTGTCTGGGCAAGGGCTCTTATTGCAGCGGGCGTGTTGGGCTTCGGGGGCGCGGCGTGGCGGCTTTCGGTGTGGGCGGGAGTCGACTTTTAGGTTTCTCTTTGCCGTGTCCTGGGTTCTGTCGTTCTAATTTTTCGCCTTTATTACTTTCTAGTTCCTCTTGTTTTTTTTTTCCATTTCTCGTTTCTCTTTTAATTTTTCTTCCTCCTGTCTTTCTGTCTGTCTCTCTCTCTTTCTCTCTTCTCCTCATCCATCTTCTCTCTTTCTCTCTTTCCTCTTCTTCTCTCTCTCTCTCTCTCTCTCTCTCTCTCTCTCTCTCTCTCTCTCCTCTCTCTCTCTCTCTCTCTCTCTCTCTCTCTCGTCCTCTCCGTCTCTCTCTCTCTCTCTCTCTCTCCTCCTCCCTCTTCTCCTCTCTCCCTCTCTCTCTCCTCTCTTCCCCCTCCTTTCTCCCGTCCCACCCTCCCTCCCCTGCCCCCTCCCTCCCCCCTCCCTCCCTCCTCCCTCCCTCCCTGCATGCATTACCAGTAAAAAAAATCAACCAGTAGACTGATTAAAACTACCAATCTGTTAATTAATTTCTATTTTTTTTTTTTTTTTTTTGGTTTATCGCTTCCTCTCGGGAGGAGAAGACGGAAGGGGTAGGAAGGGAAGGGGGAGCAGGGTGGAAGGGCGGGGTGAGGGGAAGGGGAAGGGAGAAAGGAACGGGGGGGAGCAGCCGTGGGAAGGGGGCGGGGGGTGAGGGCGAAGAGGGGGGAAGGGGCAAGGGAGGCATTAATTTCGCAGGTGATCAGGATTAATATGTTGGTAATAGCAATTAGCTGGTCCTTGCATGCGATGTTGGACATAGGTCGGTGGAGGTGGGTTACTGAATCCGTGTTTTACGGTGTTATGTAGAGCTTGTGTGGGTTGTGGTGGTGGGTGGGTGTGTTAGTTGCGTGAGGGCGTGAGTGTGGTGTTCGCTCATGTGTTGTGTGGAAGTGTCGTGTGGGAAGGTGTTTTGTGTGTGTTTGGTGTTTGTATTGTCGTTGTTTGGGCCTATACGTTTTATTAGAGATAAGATAGATGAGCGCAAGCGAGAGAGAGAGTAGAGTGAGCAGAGACGAGAGAGAGCGAACATGACAGGAGAAGAGAGAGAGAGAGAAGAGAAGCGAGAGCAGACAGACAGCACCAACAGAGGAGCCGGAGGAGAGAGAGAGAAATGAGAGAGGACAGGAGAGGAGAAGAGAGAAGAGAGAGAGAGAGAGAGAGAGTGAGAGAGAGAGAGAGAGCACTAGATGAAGAGAGAGGAGAGAGAGAAGAGAGAGAGAGAGAGCGAAAGAGAGATAGATGAGCGAGAGAGAGAGAGAGAGAGAAGAGAGAGAGAGAGAAGAGGAGAGAGAGAGGAGAGAGAGAGAGAGAGAGAGAGAGAGAGAGAGAGAGAGAGAGAGCGAGATGGACAGAGAGAGAAGAGAGAGAGGGAGAGAGCGAGAGCGAGAAGCGAAAGGAGAGCGACGAGCGAGAGACAAGAGACAGAGAGAGAGAGAGAGAGAAGACGAGAAGAAGAGGAGAGAGAGAGAGAGAGAGAAGAGAGAGAGAGAGAGAGAGAGAGGAGAGAGAGCCTGAGAGAGAGAGAGAGAGAGAGAGAAGAGTACGAGAGAGAGAGAGAGCGAGAAGCGAGAGCGAGAAGCGAGAGCGAGAAGCGAGAGCGAAGAGCGAGAGGCAGAGAGAGCGAGAGAGAGAGCCGAGAGTGAGAGAGAGAGAGAG